CAAGGGTTTAATTTTTATAAAATTTTCTTTAAGAGTTTAGGCCCTGTAGCTTATTGGTTAAGCTTCCAAACCCCACAGACAAGGTCAATAGTTCAAGTTAGGCTGATAGCAAATTATTAATTTACTATTGTAATCTATTGAAGCCAGATCGAATGTGAATCCCTGTGGAAGTTCATATTCAAGTACAAAATTGGATTAGGAATTCTTAAAAGGAAACCTAATCATGAAGTATAGATACTATATATAGTAGTAGTGCTATAGAAAGGTAAAGGTACTAAAGATTGTACAAGTAAGTTCTTGTAGACAGGCAGTACCAACATCTTTATACTTCTAGTTTAAGCAACACCAACATTTCTGCACCCAACTTGTGAAGAACCTGATTGGAAGGATAATTATCAAATTGCAGATATAAGTTCTAAACTAGTATCACAGTACTAGATTTGATTAGAAGAGCAATACAATAGTAACTAAAACTAGAGTAGTAAAAGAAGCAGTAAATATGAGAATGGTCTATAGTAAAGATTGGCTTTATCAATTTAAAATAAACAATACCAATTGTTTTGGTATATATGATATTAATTGAAAGTATATATCTTACTTAATAAATTTGTTTTGAAAATAAGCTTTTTGGTTTAAATACTAAATAACTTGAAGAGTCTGTTTAAGAAAAACTTGATTTCAAAAAAAACCATCTGTTAATACTTATATTTTAATATATTATATTTGTTTTGTTTAGATTTTATTAACAATAAGCTGTTTTTGTTTTGAACTAAATTTAATATTAACTTTTGTTGCTTTTTTATAATATTTTTGTTATAATTTGGTTTTGTTATTATTAACTAAGAGATTATTAGAAAGAATATAGTGTATATAATATAAATATTTTTTAATATTCAAGATAAGATTATATTTCCAGTTTTTATTATAAATACTTATCTATCACAATCTATATTACTGGTATTATATATTAATTCATATTATATGATAAGCTATAGAAGTTGCCAAAAAGTAAATCAATAATTTTTAAATTTGTATACTAGATAGTTTAAGGGATAAATATTTTTATTTTATAGGCAATTAATATAAATAATAATTTTATTAATCTTAAAATAATTTTAACAATAATAATAGTAATTATAATTCTTTATTGATAAAATATTAGTAAAATATTTATAAAATAGGCTAGCAGTGAAATAAACTATCTATGAAATGAACTTGTCTATGAATTAATTATCTGTAAAATAGACTTGTTTATAAATTAATTGTCTGAAATAAAACGTCTACAAAGTGTGCAGCACCGAAATTTAGAAGACATTTCATGTTCGTCCTCAATTTAAAATAAAATCACGTGCTTGTCTAAAGTTGGGCAATCCTCTTCCCAGTTTTGGTTATTTCAGTCCACATATTTAAAGCCTTTTTCTGAGAAATTTGGAAATTTCTTAAGCACAAACGCAAATGTAACCTACAAATCAATAAATGAACGAAATAATTTTTATTGTATTTTTGTCTACACAAAACAATGTTTCATGAGAATTTGAGCACAATTATCATATGTTTACTTTCTCCATAAAAATGCATGTTGGATGCATGTTTATATTGTGAATATGATTCGCTATTCGGATTAATTCGAAAAAAAAAAAAATATTGTCCATGATAATTCAAGGTTTATACGGATTAATAAATTTTTATCGATTTAAATTTTTTTCAGGTGAAAATTACATTCCAAATGCTTATACGTACTATATAATTCTATGCAGAAATAACGTACGTACTGTACATGTGTTCATTGCCATTATTCTAAGAAACCAATCTTATGTAGTAAAAGGAATGGACAATCTAATATAAATTAAACTAAAATGTATTATGATTCAGTTGTAAACTATTGTTACGAATGAACAATAAATAAAATATATTATTATGAAATTCTATTATATAAATTGCATAAATAATGACGATAAATATACAAATAAATGTGTAACGGGGAAAACATTTTCACCGAATTAGTCCATCTAACTTAAATACAGATTTGGTAATTTTCTTTTTGTTACTGAGTGGAGTGTTAAAAACTTTCCAGAATCGTAAAGTATTATCATCGCCACCAGCACCAGTCACAATATCTTCGCCATTAGGAGATAAAGAAAAATAAAGCACACGATAATTATGCCCTTTTAAGGTCGCAATCTTTTCCATCGAAGGATATTGCCAAACTACTACATCATTTTTCCACCATCCGTGGGTTGAGACAATTTCATTTGCCGTGGGTGACCATTGCAGGTTACATACCTTTATAGAAAACTAATGGTTAGTTGATTAGAATAAAATAAAAAAAAATAAAAATTTAATAAATTAAAAAATAAAAATAAAAATACTTGTGATTTAACATTATAACTTGCTAAGCATCTTGAATCCAGAGTATTCCAGAAACGTATTTGGCGATCTAAATGACCACCTCCACTTACTAATAAATTTCTTGAGTGAGGGCTCCATGAAAGAGCTCGAACAGCAGCTTTATGACCATCAAGCTTTCTGATTGGAGACAAATTCAAGCCTTCCCAGATAAATAATTCGTTGGCATTACCACCACTTGCTAATTGATTTCCTTCATTGTTCCATTTCAATCCACATATCTATTTACATAATAATAGATTTAATCTAAATTCGAGTAATTTAATAGTTCGATAATTACTTACCTCGGATTTATGATCTGTTAAAACACGGATATTATCATAAGGGCTTCTTGGATCTCTATGGAATATGCAACGGTCGGCGCTACCGGTGGTTAGTAGGTTTCCATTCCAAGAAAGAGTTCCTGAGAATATATAAAATATGTAGGACTAGATTAAAAACATTGAGCATTGATATATAGAATAACGAATGTTTTATTTACCAACTCGTGAACTATGCGAAGTACAATCGCGGATTTTCATTAGTTTTTGAGCATCCCAGATTTGAAGTTTGCCTTCCGCTGTGCCAATTGCGAGTTGAGAACCCTGTTATTTTAAATTATAAAGTTGCAAAATATTTTAGTTAACATAATATTAACATATTATTATTATACATATTATTATTTATTACCTGAGGATGCCATTTAACAGAAGAAACGGAAGATAACAAGCCCAAATCGCATAATTTTGCCATCTAAAAATGATAATAATAAAGTTAATAATAATTAGGGTAAAAAAACAATAATAAAATCGCGAAACCTTAATAAATTGCAAACCCTTGATGTTCCAGTATTCCACAAATAAGCGCAACTTTCGAGCCCCAAGCTTAAAATATTTGAAGCAGACCAATCTACCACGTTCAAATAAAAGTCATCCTAAAAGCAAAAACAAAAATAAATGAGATGTATTAATAAATAAACATATATTGACATATATTAAAATGTATATACTTTGAGCATCAATTCATTGCAAAATGCGAGCATTTGATATGGCAGTGGATTAATTATTCTAGCAGGTTTACGAGGTTTTGTCATTAAATCCTCTACTTGACGTGAAAATGGAGTTGTAGAATACACATTTCTAAAGGGCGTATCTAAGATACCACGGCGTTTTGGCAATGCCGAATGGAATTTAAGGAATTTCTGTTTCGAATTTATCGGATAAGTGTCAATATGACTGACTATATCGTCATTAGAGTTTGGGGGTGGAAACATTTCCCTTTGGACTATAATTTTGTGAAAATAATCGTCTAAAGTAAATAAATAAATAAAAAAATAAATAAATAAAATTCATTCCAAGTTTTAATTGATATGGTATAAACGAAAATATTTTCTTGCCTTCTGGTTCTTCTCTCTTCCGCTTTTGTGATTTTTCTTCTGTAGACGTTGTTGCTCGTCTTTGAAACTCGGATATCATATCACCGGTTCTAATAGGAATGAATCTATAAAACGATTACGGAAAGATAATTATGATTTATGCCGTTAATTTATACATGATTAAGTTCGAACGTGTTTAAAGGTGTTAAAATCTGACGCCAATTATTTTCACAAATTTATGCGTTTCGAAATTTTTACCTATCTCCATACGATACTTCATTATTATCCTTTGTATTATTACTATTTTCATTTGTCCCCCAAGATGTCACACTATTTGGTGAGCAGCCTGAAGTGAATATAGGTAACGACTTTCCTGAAAGTGAAAAGTTCATAGAAGTTTCAGCTGAGGGCATGCTAGTTGAAAAGTTGGGGAGTAATTTGTGAGACTTATTTTCAAGAGACATTTTTTTTTGTATATTGTAAAAATAAATTTTAGAACGAAGGTGTTTATAGAACGAATCCAAATATTATTTATAGTTTCTGATTGAGTGTAAGAGAATTTTGTCAGCTTAAAAACAATTGTTTTTGTTGACAAATAAACTCTTTGTTTTGATATAGTCTGAGTGCTCGATTCATTAAATTTAATAGTTGAGTCTGAAATAAGCATTTTGAGTCTTAAATCAAACTTTAATGTTTTTACATTTAGTGTGCAAAATTTGGTGTGAATTTTGTCGGAGAAAGATTTTTTAAAATTAAACATGAAGATTACGCTATACATTAACTTTCAAGAATTTTATGCGGATATTGATTCATCATGAATCATAATAATAATAATAATAATAATAATAATAATAATAATAATAATAATAATAATAATAATAATAGTAATGTATAATATTTGTCATTTTAAGCTGACGTTATATATAACCTTATTTACTATTTCTTTTTTTCTATTTCCATTAATTCAATTTGCATGTTGATTTCTAAGTCCATGACTTGTGCTATGATTTTTCTGTTTTCAAATCCATCACCATGTGTGATCTCTAACACTTTCTTTGTTGCTTTTACTATTTCATAGGATTCAACGATTTTATCTTTATCTTTGCAAGTATCATTCCACATACACTTTGCCAAACCAAATAAATGTAATCCAATAATTGGATGAAATCTTGGATAAATTAAAAGATAAATAGCGAGAATATAACGACCTAAAGTCCATGATTCTCGCCATTGTTGTAACTCAATACGATCATAAAAATGTCTTGTGACTAAAGAAAGAGATGATGTAGTAAAAAGATCTGGATGTGTGATGGTTGTGTCCATGTCATTGAAAAATACTTCTAAGGTTTTTATGTAATCAGCCTTTGATGTTTCTCCTATTAAATGCGGTAAAAGTGAGATAATAATGCGCGAAATAAACGATGAAATCGATTCTTTTATCATCTGGTTTTGTTTCATTTGAGAAATCAGCAAATTTTCTACGATTTTTGCTTTTTCTTCTTCATTATCTTTTCTCTCAGTTAATTGCTCGATCTTCATTAATACTCTTCTTTCTTCTTCTGTTATATCTATACTAATATCGTCGGAACAACATCTTGGACATTGACATTTAAAAAAATACTTTTCCCTCAACAATTTATGTCTGGACGTTCGGCTCATTGCGACATCAACATAAGATATCGTTATCTCCTCACCAGCCTTTATGTTTTCAATGCTTCTAAGTATTTGTGGTCCATCTTTTGTTTGTTGTCCGATTGAATACATCACTATAGCATTCGGACGACAAGAATGGTTGATTAAAGATCCAATTGGGTAACTACAAATGAATAGATAAAGGAAATAAAATTAAAGAAATATCATCCTGATTTTTATAAAAAAATTCATAGGATTATAAAGAACAAAACAAAGGATACGTTCCTTCGCCAAAAGAAAATAACTGACTATCATCCACGTTAAAATTATTACAAGAAAATCTACATAAATATGTTATCAATTCATCTTGCGTGATATTTTGTAAGTCCAAATCAGAAAAAACATTCGTTGCAATAGTTTTAAATCTTTCTAATTGTTCTGGTATCTGTTTTTCACGATGTGACATTAATGTCAAAAATGTCTCACAATTTATCTTCTCGTTTAAATCTGTCGATGATACCATTTCGGACTCATAGTATGATTTTTTTTTTAAATATTTATCTATTCTCAATGCTACTCGTCTTAACATTTCTTCGTCCATATAATCACTATCCAAGCCTTTATTCCCTTCCTTTTTATATAAAGGGCATAAAATTTTGTGATGTGCTGACCATGCGAGCTTTTGACATTTTACGTTACAATAGAATGCTTTATGACATCTAGAACATGTTTTTAGTGGTTCGATTGGAATTTCTAAACAATTATTACAATGGGCATTGACCATGGATGGAATTGGAATGCATGCAAGAGATGGGAATGTAATTATGGTGGTGCCTTTGGGAATATGTTTAAGTGTTTTAAGAATACGGTGTTTCGTGGGGTTTTCCTCGAGGGTTAGCCCGTGAAGTGAAAGAAATTCTGATACGCATTGCATGCTTGAAATTTGCCTAACAACTGAATTGCTGATAATTGCTGATAATTTATAGTTATCATTATCGTATGTAGTATGGTAACACGAATCAACGGGAGTATAGAAATTTCGTATACTATTCACACTATGCCCTACACTTTTATTATATACCAATAGGTTCTGTGTTGCTTCTAGTGTGAGATACTAATTTGCTTTAGTATATTGCATCTGAAGGATGATTAGATTAATTATTTCTTCTGTATCTATTGTTTATATTTAGTTGTTAGATCTGTTAAACCAGGTTTGTATTACTTGATTTAGAATATTTAAAACTTGATAACTAAAGTATAGCATATTGGTTGAAGTAAGAGTTTATAGTATTGTGGACTTGATAGATAAGTTTATATATTTAACTTGATTTATAGTATTATACCAGTTAATAACTTTTGATCCACTGATCTGTTTTAGACGATTTTACTACCAAAATGACTGTCTCAATGAGATGATCCTAACAAGTATCAAATCGTTAAAATTCAATTACGGGATTCTGAGATCAATTTCAATTTATCTTATTTCAAAAAATTATTTAAGTAAATCTGCAAATTTTTGTAAATAAATCTTTAATGATCTCGGAATCTCGTGATTGGATTTTAATAATTTTGTACTTGTTAGAATTGTCTTACTGAGACAGTCATTTTGGTAATAAAATCATTCAAAACAGACCAGTAGATCAAAAGTTATTCACAGTTAAATAATTGGCCACAATACCCTTCTTCTTTCTAAAATTAGTTTTTATATTCTATTTATATATTAATTATTTATATCTAAAAATATATATAATATAAAGATTTTTTTACAGTATTTTATTTTTTATTAAGTATAATTCAAATAATAATAATTGTATAAAAATCTTATAGGTTTATTAAAAAATTTTATTAGTAAAAATTTCAACCTGGTCACAATACCTCTATTTACTTTATATTGTATAATAATAAATATAGATATTTATATTAATCATTCGATTACTATATCAAGAAACCTTCATATTATTTAGTATTATGAAATTGTAAAAAACAATTTTGGTTATTATCACAGCAAAGAAGTTTATTGCACATCACATATCAATAATAACTTCAATATAGAGATTTATGATCCATATCTAATTTATTTTTATATACTAGCCACATACACCATCAGCATGTCTCACATTGCTCTCTCCACTCTACTAAGTGGTTTCAGGTATAAGCCGTTTGTCTAAGAGCTCAAAATATTTTGTTGCTTTTGGTTGCTTTATTTCATTTTTTGATTCCAGTTTTTTTGAATTTTTTGAATTTCTTAGCTAAATGTTACTAGTATCATTTGTGAAATCGATAAGGTTCCAAACAAGCTCCAAGTAAAACCTCTTATGCTTTTTTGTTAATCCTGAAGTTACAACGATCTGATATGAATTAATAACAGTAGCATCTAAAAGCCAAAAAAAAGTAGCATCCAATTTCGTCAAGTTGTTTGTTATGTATTGTAATAAAATCATAGTTGGTCTGCAACATCTATACCATTCATATAGTTATTGTAGTCATCTATTACTCTAAGAATTTTTAATTTTTTTGATTTAGTTCCAAATACAGTATGCACTTTCACTGTATTAGTGCTTATTTCTCTTGATTGCCATCTTTTCTATTCTACTTCCTATTTATTACCAACAAGTTTGTGAATTGTTGTCAACATTGTTATAAAACTATTATCTTGCCAGAAAATAACTAATATACTGTTTATTATGATACCAGAGCAAATATTCTAGTTGAGTTTGATATTTTTATTTATTTTTAGTTCTTTTAAAAAGCCAGAGAAATAGTTCCACAAGCGCTGATATTGATTTGTCAAAGATATTGATAAAGAGAAATGCTAATAAAATAGTTATCTATATATATATTAAATAAAAATCCAGAATATAGAAGTTGCTTAACAAGATGGTAAACCAAATATCTAGTTTGACTAAAATCATATACTTTTGTTATATTATTTGAAAAGATACGTGATATTGGCAAAAAGGTGTAAGTGTACTCTAATTCACAAAGAGACAAAATTTTAAAGCTTTTTGAAGTCAGTTTGTTTTTAATTCTAATAGTATAAATGCTTCTTCCAAAAAATTTAATTACTATTTCGTCTACTGAGATATTTGACTTTGGTATATAAAGTTGCTTTAAAATGTTATAAATATAAAAAAGCAGTAGTTTCAACTTCTCAAAATAATTATTAATTGCTGTAGCAGGGGATGAAATGTATAAAAACTTCTTAATTATTTCAAAATGTTTAAGTAATATTTGCTTTAAATATAATATATAGGAAGTTTTTCATCTTCATTTCAATATTGGTCAAGAAAAAGCAATCTATAAAGTCCTTGATAAATAACAAGTGCAATTCAGATAATGAGCTCTTTACAACTTAAGTTTAACCATTGTCTACCAATTACACTAACTCCTTTTGTTAAGATATAAAGATTCGTATTCTCAACAATTGTGTCCAGCATGCTGAGTAAAAAAAACAAAAAATTGATAGGCTTAAAGACACTAGCATCAAGATGTGATAGCAACTAAACAAGTGCCTAATGCAGTGGCCTTTGATAAGTAAATAGTTTAAAATCTAAGAGTGGTAATGGTAATTCTCGTTTGTTTTTTGATAGCTTATACTTTTTTGTGCGGGTATCTCTTGTGTTTAATTCTATCATTTCTTCTTTCTCCTTACTATCTAATTCTGGTTGATCAAGATAATACTGACGAGTTGTTAAAAGTAGTATATATTCTTCCTTGTTATCTGCATATGCTTTCTGAATTTCCAGAAAAGGTAAAGCCAAGTCAAATCTAGAGAACATATTTTATTAATAATTGAAAACTTTTTTTGTCAAGATGGGCTTTATTTAATAACAATTGAGAAAGTTTTTTTTTATTGCTATGCACTTTTATTAACAATTGAAAAGTTTTTTTTTATTTCTATGAATTTTTATTAGCAATTAGGATTTTTTTTTTTTTAGATTAATTTTATTTGATTACTTAAATACAAAATCTTGAATTAAGTATTCATTAACAAAAATTTGTTTTATAGATCTGAAATAGTATGATGCATGTTAAAGTAAAAGAAATTTTTCTGGAAATAAGACAAAATCTTCACATTCACTGCATTGAAGATTTATTCGAATGGTATATTAATAGACAAGTAATTACAAGATTGATTATATATATTTATTTAAAGTTTATACACAAAAAAAAATAAGATTATTTAAAAGCGATAAACAAGTTTATTTAAAAATAAAGTTTTGTTTAAGAGATGCAGTTAGAATTCTGAATGCCAATACTATAGATCAAAATTTTCAATAAAAATTAGGCCAAGAGCTGATTTGAATATAAAAAGAATATAACATTTAAAAATGCTTTTATAACAATATTAGTTAGTAAAAAAAAAACTCTTTTTCATAGATTCTAATTTTATAAGTAAACAAACAAATAATCCCAAAAATGGCAAGAAGTAAATAGCATAACCATATTATAACTAAATAACTATTATTATAAAGTGTGATATAGCAACAGACAAGTCTGCTAAAATTAAACGAACTAGAGAGACAGCCTTCTGTACTCCAGTTTCCTTTCTAACTCTGTTACCAACTATGTCAGCAACTGACAAAAATAACAATAAAGATAACAAAAAGTGTATAACAAGTTCTCTAGCAAAGAAGATACAACTTATATACATTCATATAGAGAATAGTGGTCTAATAGACATACAAAACAAGAAAAAAAAGCTTAAAGCTGTTGATAATACTTCAACTTCTACACTATCTATTACTAATTATAATATTTTTAAAGAAAATTTTGGAGAAATAGCAAATTCTAGTTTACTTATGAATTTGACAAGAATGATATACTATCTTAATCAATAACAAATTCGATCCAGAACCTAAAACAATCTCTAACATATAATTTTTTCACAGATAAACAAATTAAGTGATTTTAACCCAGGACTTGACTATATCCAGCACAGTTTCTCCTACAATAAAACAATATAGAAAAGTAAACAATCTAACCTTGTTAGAATCAGAATTCAAAACCAACAGATTAGCAAATATCTTGTCTAATATAAAAATAGACCAGAATATAATAAACTCAGATAGTAGTGATAATGAAAGACCCATTCTATTAATATGGTATTAGATAAATAGCCACAAACAAAAATATTATACAGCCAAGCAGTTAGCAAAGATCTTTCAAACAGAATCAGAAAGATTTCAAATAGGTACTTCATTAATGATAAGGAAAAAGAATGACAAGAATATGCACAAGCAGCTTTAAAAGAAATCAGACAAGAAAAACTAGAGCTCTTTGATACAACA